ACTGCGTATAATGGGCATGGTGGCATGCGCCTGTAGTCCCAGCTGCTACTCCAGAGGCTGAGATGGGAGAATCGCTTGAGCCTGGAAGGTTGAGGCTGCAGTGAGCAGTGATTGTGTCACTGCACTCCAGCCTGGGCAACAAAGCAAGACTCTGTTTCAAAATGAAATGAAATGAAATGAAATGAAATGAAATGAAATGAAATAAAATGGAAACTGTGTATGAGCCTCCCATGACGGCAGGAAAGGTAAGCTACTATTATTTAGAACAAAAACATTTTTAGGCAGCTGACTTTGTGTGAAGGTTAACTTTTCCTCCTCATTGTGGGAGGCTCATGTTGCATAAGAGATGCATTCCACTTTGCCCTAGCTCACCTCCAAGCCAAAAATTTTCCAAAAGGGCACACTACAGAAAGGACCCATAGTTAAATGTTTGCAAAACAATTTGCCACCCACCCTCTTCTGAGTCACCTCTTCAAGCTGGTAACCTTTCAACCTGCTGATATTGCCACCCAGTATCAGGGGCATGTGTGGACTCCTTAAGGTTTTTTTCCCAAGGCATGGTAGCAGCTGCTGGAGTTGGTGAGGGGGACAGGTCAAGTAAAAGACCTGGTCACAGATTCTAGATTGTTAGGACACTAAAGTAGAAGACTGGCCGACCGCAGTGGCTCACGCCTGTAATCCCAGCACTCTGGGAGGCCAAAGCAAGTGGATCACTTGAGGCCAGGAGTTCGAGATCAGCCTGGCCAATGTGGTAAAACCCCATCTCCACAAAAATACAAAAATTATCCAGGCATAGTGGTGTGCGTGCACACACACACACACCCCAAACAATGTAGAAACTTAAAAAAAAAAAAAAGTACAGGACTGAGCAGAGAAGAGATAGAGGGAGCAGGCTAGGCACACATGAATAAAGAGAATATATGATGAATGAAGTGGACAAAGAAAAACCAAGATAAATAAAAAAGAAAAGAAAGAGAAAGAGTCCATGGGACAGCACTCCAGCATAAAGTACAAGGTACCCTAAAGGCATTTCTCAGTCTAAACAAGACTACAAAAAGAAGATTGTGATTTAGGGAAGATGGTAAAAAAATGGATGGCACCAAAGTGACAATAATTAGAGGAAAAATGAGGAAGGTGTTTGGTTCAGAAACAAGGCTTCTATAGACATTTCTTTTTATATTTTGTGTAAGTATGTGTTTTGTATATGTTATGTTCATATCAGTAGCTTTGAAAGCATACTTTCATGTTATCGACATGTCTTTATGTGAAAAACGACAAGACTTAAAGATTTGATTTTCTTCCGTAAACCACATTCCTTGACTCTAGTCAAGCCTCCCAGAGTAACAGACAATAAAAACTAGTCTTTTCCAAGCCAGTCTAACTCTGAGGTGGTGGCTATTAGGTTTCTATTAGAAACATTAAGAAAAATAAATGATTTCAGAATCATGGAAAAAGTACTTTCCAACAATCTTGGTGCCACAGATATAAAATTTCTGAATTTGGAAAATATTTAGCGAGAGATATTTATTATAACAGTTGAAATAATAAAAATCTATTGCTTTCTTGCCACTGAGCTTAAGCAAAGAAAAAAAAACTATTGCTTTTCTCAATTGCTTAGAAAGCATAACTGAAAGTGGACACACTGAAAAGACTGCAGTGGAGATCCTTCAATTTCAGCCTCTGGAGATTATAGTTACTTACCCCATAAATATATATATCTACTATGTATCCATGAAAGTTAAAAATAAAAAAAAAATTAAAACAAAGATTACAGTTACTATGTAACAACCAGAGTTCTTTTTTTTTTTTTTAAGTGATTGCCTTCCACTAAGGATATAAAGATAAATATTAACCAGTGTTGCAGTGAACTGGTTGGCCAAAGATAGCAGGTCTTAACATTGATTGTGCATAGGAAACAACTGAGGTGCTTAAAAAAAAAAAAATACTGACACCTGGCTCCCACTCCCAGAGATTTGGATTTTAATAGGTGAGATGCAGCCTGGGCATCAAGAGTTTTAAAAGCTCCCCAGATTTTTCTAATATACAGCAAAATTTGAGAAACACTAAAAACCTTGCTACTGACCAGTATGGTCCATGGACCAGCAGCATTGCTATTACCTGAGAGCTTTTTACAGATGCAGAATGTCAGGCCTCACATCGGGCTGATGAATTAGAATCTGGATTTTTCCAAGGTTCTCATGTGGTTTGGTTTGTATGTACATGACTGTCTGAGAAGCACTGCTCTAAGGAATTCTTGTCACTAATCATTTTTTCTTTCTCAGATGTTAGATAGTAATTCCCTAGTTAATAAAAGATGAAAGAAAAATAACTCAAATTTCATTCTCTAAAACTCAGGAAAAAAAGACTTTCATCTGTGACATTCTGTAGCATGATAAAAGGTGATTGCTGTGAGTTGAGATCCATATATGTAGGGTTGCCAGATAAAATATAGGATAGTCAATTAAATGTGAATTTCAGACAAGTGATTTTTTTTATTTTAATGAAAGTATGTTCCAAATATTGCACAGGGTATATGTATACTAAAAAACTATTAATTGTTGATTTGAAATACAAATTTAACTGGACATCCTGTGTTTTCATCTGCTAAATTTGGCAACCCTACATATATTCCCAGGAGCCTCTCTTTGCTCTCTAGGCTCTCTTAGTTAAAAAAAAAAAAAAAAAGGAAATGATACCATAAATGGCCAAGTGACTGCCCCCTAAGCTGTCTAGACTGATTGCCTGTAATATTGTTTCTCATCCAGCCCAGACACAGGACTCTGACTTAGGGAAGCCAGGCTGGTGACTCATCTAAGTGGGAAATTTACTTGCTGACTCAGGAGGACATAGTTCTTGGCAAACTTTTGCCTTAGTATAAACCAAAAGGGAAAAAAATATATAAGCAAATGTTAAATACAGGAGAATGAATTCAAACACTTTAACTGGAGGCAGCAGGCAAATTAATCGCATATTTTCTTTCAGTTGATTAAATGAGATATTCGTGGTTTCCTCTTTTACCAGAGCTTATCCTAAAAAGGGATTTTTGAAAACATCAAAAGGTTTTATTTAAATATGAAAATGGTAGAGAGAATAAAGATGGACTGAAGTCAGTTAGGTATAGAGCATAAAGTTCATTGCTCACTTTAGGAGAAAGACTGAGATAGCTGACTTGCCCATGGTTGCACTCAGGGTTTGGCATTTTTCTTAAGAATTAACTGCTAGTTAAGTCCTCCCAGAGGGCACTTTCCAAGAATACGTTTTAAATCAGTTTTCTCAATATTCCATGTAACTTGTGTATATACGAGCAAATTCTTGGAGCAGAGATGTAGGTGTGGCTTGGGTGGAAGCTCTCCCTTTGCAAGCCTGGTAGAAGAGGAAACTAAATTTACTTAACCAGTTCTGATTTTTTTCATATTTGAAAAGGTTTTGATGGGAAAAAACCTGAATAAAATAATTGTGGATATGTGCAATTCTGTTGTATTAATAATTTTTTTCTTAAATAAGCCCATAGTTGTTTTTCAGTAGGTCCAAAATGGAAGTTAGATACCAACTCTTTTTTTTTTTTTTCTTTTGAGCTTCTGAATCTTTTCGACTGAAGTTGGACCCTTATATTTAATGACTATTAGCTATGATATTAACAATCCTGGTTTTAGGACTAGAAAGCAAAACAACCTGTTTCCAGCAAGTACAGATAGAAATTATCATTTCAAAGCAAAGCCCATAAAAAACATACCATAGAAGTTTCATAAACACAACAATCCCTGCAGACATGATGGAGAAGGGACTAAGTATTAAGAACTATGGTGTACAGGAAAAATAAATACAGTCACAAAGCTGAATCTATCAAGAAATAAAACCTATTTTTTCTCTGCTTTGAACTTGGTCTGGCCATCTCACTTGCTCTGGCCCAACAAAATGTGGCAGAAATGATGTTGCACAAGCAAGCCTAGGCCTCAGGAAAGCTTGCAGCTTCCACTTTTGCTGTCTTGGAGCATTGCCCTGAGGAGCTTCAGCTGACTGGAGGATGAGAGGTCGCAAGAAGAACTGAGATGCTCTGCTGCTAACAGCCAGCAGCATTGCCAAATACATGTATGAGGCCATTTTGGACCTTCCAGTCTAGCCATACCTTTACCAGAATGATGCTGCTTGAGTGAGCCCAGGAGATGTCAAAAGAGAAACTACTAGTGAACCTACATAGAATCATGAGAAATAAGAAATTATTGTCTAAAGCTACCAGGGTTGTCAGGGGGAAGAGTTGCTATGTAGCAATAGGTAACTAAAAAGATGGAATGCTCAAATTTCACTAAGTTTAGTTTCACTAAAACTCCCCGAAAGAAGTCCTAAAAAAAAAAAAAAAAAAAAACCAACTCAGGTCTCGTCGTCTCCACCCCAGAAATCCTGATTTAGCTAGGCCTGGCATCCCACTTTTAGTACAAAGACCCCAGATGGCAGTGGTCCTCAGACCGCCTTTTGAGATACACCCCCTAGCAAGATTTTCTTCAGCACAGAGGAGGCTTGAGGTAGGTGGCCATATAGCTGTGTATCGCTCCTGCAAATGCCACTGGAGCAAGTGCACATTTGTATCATCATCATCATACGCAGTGTCCCAGGTACCAACAGAGCATTTTTGTTTATATATATCTAATTATAAAATGGAAATTAAAAAGATTATTTCTATTCTTCTTCACGTATCTAATATGGATTATTGGAGAGGGGGTTGAATGGGGGAGCAAAATAGCACCGTCCCCTGCGGAAATGGGCTTGGTGGAGACTTTGACTGATATGGGTTAAAGTCTTGATATGGGCTACACAGCAAAAATGCAGCTGAGATGAGGCAGAAGTGGGATAAAAAGTGTGCAGATGTTTTTGAGCATTATGAAAGGGAGAGGAGAATAGGGAAGGTAGATGCTCAGGGAGGTTTATTTGAGTGGAGAACCATATAAATTGTAGGTGAATATGCTGAAACCACTATAAAAAAATGAAAATGAACGTGCCTGAGGGAAATGACTGAGTCTTTTATTTATTTGTATGCTCTCATCATAGCTACAGCATAATAGGTGTATCATAAAACAAAGGTGGTGTGAAGTGTTGAAAGCTGTAGTTTTCAGGTGTACTTGACGGTGGTCCTTTGGCAGCGTCTGGGTCCTGCTTTTTCTTAGTCTTATATATGTAAATTCAGTTGGTGTGCCATTTGAAGGGTTCCGCTGCTAAGAAACGTTTGAAAACCAATGAGTCAAAGCATGAAGGAAATGCTATTTAATTGAAGAGAAGGATTGATTATTAGACAAGTGATATTGACATTTCTGAGATGGCTGCTTTTCAGTGGCAGGTGAAAGATTCAAATGTAATCTTCCTGGGGTTCTCTTTTACCCTCAGGAGGTGAGGAGAACCCAAGAAAACTCAATAGTAGCCACTTCCCAAGGACATTTAGGGAGATCAACCTGCATTTCTTTTGCTACAGTGAAAGTGAAAGAACTTGTGGTGAAAACACACATTTCTAGTATAGTAACAGAACTTCTACTCAGAATTTTTTTAAAAAGTTATTTGTGAAATTTTAGTTGCTGAAATAAAGAGTATGATGAAATCATAGATACGTACCGAGAGTTGGCATAGTAGATCCCTTCTGACTCTTCTGGGCCTGAACTCACCAAAGAAATATTTTGAACTCTGATACTCATTAAATAAGGATTGTTTTCCCTTTTTCTTGGGAAAAAGGTGAAATCAACTGTTATTTGTAGGTATCACACAAATATATGTATGTTTTTGTCTAGAATAGAAATTATATATGTTGTAGTAAGAGAAAATATATAACATTTCATAATTACCGTGAGAATCCTTTTTGTTTATAAATTATGCCTACATGTAATTTAATGTATCCGTATTCCTCAGGATTGACTAGGCGGTATTATAGTATCAAATTAACACAGAGATCTTGGCAGCTTAATGCAATAAAACCTGTATTTCACTCTATTGCATGTGAGACACATTTAGTAAAAATATGTAATGGAAACATGAGGCATTTAATTTCACTCCATACACCAGGCAGCATGAGTATAAAATAATACAAATGATGCTTTCTAGCAAATGAAATTTCTCTAAAAATAATGGTAAGTTTTGTTGTCAAGGCTAAAATACATTGTCTCCAAATACAGTACCAACCAAGGTGTAGCAAGGTTTACAGTTTTCAAATCATCCCAACCACAGAAGTAGGGTTAACTGAGGAAATGGCTTGTTAGCTGACATAGTTCCCACAATATCTGAAGATAAATGTATAATTTATAATACAAAAAGTTTTAAGCCAACATTGTATTTTAACCACAAAAATATTATGCCAATGATTACATAATTTTCATACTTGGTTTAAAACTAACAAAAACAGATTTAATTAACAGTAAGAAGGGCTAGGGTAATATTTTTCAAGTTTCATAATCAGGATAACTGATTAATATTGAAACAAAAAAGTCGGGGCACATGTGGGAATTATTTTCCTCTTACATAAGTACCAAGAGTTATATGTGGAAAACTCCTTGAGGACAGGACATGTTACTTACGAGTCTGCAGTAGCCAAATGTTGTATTCGTATGCCTGGTTACATCTCTATCTTTGTGGAACTGCCCTTCCTCCATCTTAAGTAATAACAACATTCATCGACCACAGTGCTGTGCCACATTCTTCCCACAGGAGTTATCACCTGACCTGTAGCCAACCATAGTATCTCACTCTCTGAATACAGTGATTGGTTCAGGGGTGAGCAGTTATTATAAACACAGTCAATATAAATCATTCCCTTGAGTTGAGATACTTACTTGAGAAGAGGGAAGCTTTATCATCTATGGATTGCTAAACTAGGACGTATAACTATTTCCCCTGGTCAACTGTACAGCCTGATGCAGTCGGAGAGGGTAAGGCCAACATAAAGAAGAAAGCAGAGCTGGAAAAAGAATTGTGTTGTGTTTGAAGTCAGAACCAACGCTGCACTTCTGGGTTATGTGAATCAATCCAGTCTCTCTTTCACTTTAGCTAATATGAACTGGGATATTGTCACTTGTAATTGAAAGAGTCCTGACAAATACTTCATTTCATTCCTTTTTTTTTAAAAGAGAGAGGGTCTCACTCTGTTGCCCAGGCTGGAGTGCAGTAACATGATCATAGCTCACTGCATCTTCAAACTCTTGGGCTCCTGCTTAAGTCTCCTGAGTAGCTAGGACTACAGGCATGGGGCACCACTTCTGACTAACATTTTTTTATTTTTTGTAGAGATTGAGTCTCATTGTGTTGCCCAGGCTGGTCTTCAGCTCCTGGACTCTAGCAGTCCACCTGCCTCAGCCTCTTCATTCTTGAAAGTGCTGTAGGATGTACCACAATATGCCATAGCATTTTGTATGTAGCACTGAGTCAGTAAAGGTTTTATAATTCAATAAGCATTGGTAAATCTATCTTCTGGCATCCTCAAAAGGTATTGTTGGTGATCATGGCATAATTTTGTCAAAATAATTATCATTATCTACTTGCTTCTCTAACTCAATTCCAAGAGGAAAAAATTTTCTCTCTTTTTTTTTGGTTAAAATTTCCGCTTCCTATATGTAACACTGGATTTTCAAAGTATTGGCTACTGTACATTCTTAACTAATGTACCTATGTGAAATACCATTTAAAAATACATATGTACATCAAGCTATGTTCAATCACTTTTTTACCTAGGCATTTTTCATTTTTATTTGATTTATTTTTCAAATGTTTGTTATGCCATTTTTGGTAGTCAAGAAAGATTTCCTATTGGATATAATATGTAAGTAATTATAAGATTCTCAGACATGTTTATAAAATCTTATTTAACTCACATTGTTTATGGTGATAATATAATAGAAAGATAAATGCCTTTCAAGAGACCTGTATTCTAGTCCCAGTAACAGCTTTTATTGATTTTATGACAATGGCCAAGTCCTCTCTGAGGCATCTTTTTCTCGTAACAATATATACTTATATAGCATATATAGTCATATGAAAAAGAAAATTGTATTTCAAACTCGGGAACGAGATCCTTTTTAGAGTAAGAACATTTTCAACTTAGTTTTTCATTCAAAATTTTGAGACTTGCAATGTACATCTCAAACATGGTCTGAAAAAAATAGGGCAAAACAAAGAGAAGTCTTAGTTGCTCAGTACGAAATCTGAGAAAGATTTAGACATGACCTTGGCCCAGAAGGAAGACACAGGGGCCTAGGAATGAGGACAAGGGAAAAAAAAGAAGGTCTGGTGGCAAGGAGTGCACACAACGCAATGGCAGGCCAGAAGGCTGAGAAGGAGACACAGTCAACGCGATGTTCCCATGGTAGGAATGGCTGAGGGCTGTAAATATGTCTACTATTCAACTTTAAGTGGTTAGCTGGTCTCCACTGCACTACTCTCAAATACTACCCTCCACCATCACTATCAGACTTTCTACAGAATTCTACTACATGCAACCACCATGCATTCAGATTCCTTTGTGGAATAAATGTAAAAGGGGCGATATTCCATTTTTCAGTTTGGATGAAGTATGTGCAAGGTTGAGTAAATAAACCAGATGCAGAAGGTGAGGTACCAGTGAGATTGGGAACTTAATGTTGGCTTAAGCCCCTTTGAGAATTCTTGGAACACTGGCAAGAATCCTGGCAACAGTGGGCATTATGTACAGCCCACACGCAATCTCACATGTGCAAGTAACATCACATTATTTACATTAAAATCAATCTGATCTGACTCAGGGTCCTTATTATTCCTGCACGACCCCATGTATTTTTGTGGGTTTGCTCCTTCCAAGCAGAGAAATATCTGCTGAATTTGGAAGTCCCTGCATTTAGGGTTTGGTGTCCATAGCCTGGTATCTTGCTATCACATTTGACAGTGAGACATGAGTCCCAAAGGAGAAGAGATATTGAAGGCAGTGAAAGGGAAAAGCAAGGTCAAAAATGTTGATACCAGAGCAGCTTTTTTTTTTTTCCACTGCACTTGGCACACTAATTCTATGATGATTAAATTAATGTATAAATGAATTCCTAATATTAAAGACAGAAAAATTTGGTTCAGAGCAGAGCAGTAATGGAGAAAAAGTTTCACCATTTATTTTTGCAGCTATGGCAGTATAAAGTTAGAAGAGACTTTAGAATCTGTGAAATCTGATTCTTTAACCTCTGCATCAATACCATCTATAACTATGCTATCCAGTTTGGGAGCCATTAGATACATGTGGCAATGAAAATATTTTTTAAGTTGAAATTTAATTTTTCCATCATACTAGTCAATTTTAAGAGCTCAAGAGCCATATATGGGTAATGCAAGTATTCAGACAATATAGATATGGAATAATTTCAACATTTCAGAAAGCTATAGTAGACAACACATATTTATTACATCCTTATCAAATGATCATCTAGCCTTAGTTTTCATACGTCTTAACAAGTGTTCTTTATTATTGCATTTCAGGCCAGTCATATTGTTAGGTTGTCCTTGAAGTTTCTTCCATATATTTTTCCTAGATATTTTAGACGTATGAACAAGATTTATTCTGTATAGACAGTACTTCACTAAAGTACAGTTTAGAAATTCTTGTTAACAATAGGTAGTCTAAACTGAAATAGTTAGAACAACTAGATAGAATAAGAAAGTTTCTTAAGGACTCTCTTATAACTAAAGAATAGAATTAATTCATGTAACCATCTCCATACTAGCAATTTAGTCAAAACTTAGAAGAAAAGAAATCCAATTGTAGAACGCTTTATGCTTCACAAAATGCTGAAATGCATAAAACCTTTAATTTTTTTGTTTCTATGTGCTAAATCTAATGCTATTATGCAATTAAGAGTTCTATATCTAACATCTTAGTGAATATCACCATTTTCTATTAAATCCAAATATATCCATAAAGACTGAAAGGTGAAAATCTTTCACTAGTTTTCAAGTTTTAGAGGAAGTAAGGGTGGAGATTTTAGAAAACCTCCCAGAAGGAACAAAATTAGTGATGGCACCAGACCATCTGAAAATTAGAGTATTGCTCACAATGACTTAATTCATACTTGTTTTATTAATGTCAACAATTAGAAGAGCTTCCATGGGGCATATAAACTTTTAAAGACCCTAAACAGTGAGCTGACACATCTTTCTGTACATAATAATAACCTTGTATCATCAAAAAAACTACCTGACAATGTTTCTCTTTTAGCTACTCTTCTCTTTTAGAGTGGTCAGTATATTTAGAATAATTTTTGTCCAAATAGCTTACGAATAAAGATTTTTGGCTCTCAAAATTTAAATCTCTGTTTGAGGAATTAAGGTGAGTATATCAGTTAAGATTAGGTTAGTCAAGGTATAACTGAAAATCCAAGTCATAACAGCTTAACAAAGATAAAAGTATATTTTTCCATTGCATAATACAAGTTTACAGTTCGAAACCAGTATGATGGGTCCATGGTTACCAGAAACACAAACTTTCTGTTCCATAATTCTTAGGTCATGACCTATATTACCAAGTAGGGCTTCATGTTCACAATGTGGCTGCTGCAGCTCCGACTATCACATCTATGTCTTAGGCAGCAGCTACACAGAAATTGAAGCACAAAAAAGGTTCTTTGTGATAGTTAAGATAGCCCCCCTAAAAGAAATTCCCTATAAGCTCCACCTGACAACTTCTACTGGCATATCTTGTTCATCTGTAGGAAGCTGGAAATGGTTTCTTTTTTTCTAGCTAGACCACTGTTGCCACCACACAGTATAGGGATTTTATTACCAAACAAGAAGCAGACAATGAATATTGGATAGCTAGCTAGCAGTCTCTGTCTGAATAAGTGAATTATCCTTTCTTTGTGCTAAACTTACATTGTTGCACAGGCCATACTGTATATACTTACTTACATTGAAAACAGAATTGTGTAGCAATAGGGAGCATAGGATGTAATTAGGATGATCCTATGTTCCAGTTTGCCCTGGAGAGTTCCAGTGTATAGCTGTTGTATCAATATAATTATTATTAGTGTTTCTATTAGTCTCTAAAGCGCCTCAGTTCAACAATAAATTGCATGGTCACCTTAGCTATTATAAACTGGCTAGATCATCTCTAATACTTCCTAGCTCTGTGACCTTAGCAAATTACTTTTATAAACTCACTGTATTAGTTATCTATTGCTGAATAACAAATTTTACACCCCAATTATATTGGCTCAAAACAACAAACATTATCTCAGTTTCCATGGGTCAGTAGTTAAAGAGCTACTTAGATGGATGGTCCTGGCTCAGGGTCTCACTTGAGATTTATAGGCTGGCAGGAGTTGCTATCGTCTAAAGGCCTAATTGGGAAGCAGAATCCAGTCTGCAAATTATTTGTTCACATTGCGGTTGGGAGGAGGCCTCAGGTCCTCACCATGCAGGTTTCTCCATAAGGCAGCTTGTGTGTCCTCACAACATGGCAGCTGGCTTCCCCTCCAAGAGAGAACAAAAGGAAGCTTCAGTGCCTTTTATGCCCTAGTCAACAAACTCCCACAGTCACTTTCTCTTTATTCTCTTCACTAAAAGCAGTTCACTAAGTCCAGCTCACACTCCAGGGGGGACTATAGGCACATGGCAACATGTCTGGGTAATTTTTTTATTTTTTGTAGAGATGGGGATTTGTCATATTGACCAGGCTGGTCTCAAACTCCTTGGCTCAAGCGATCTGCACACCTTTGCCTCCCAAAGGGCTGGATTACAGGTGTGAGTCAATGCACCTGGTCATGATTTCTATTTTGGTGCTTTGAATCTCAGTTTTATGTATCTTCTATCATAGATTGTACCAACTCTGAAAGATAAGTATGAAAAAGGAGGCTTATGGAAATAGGACCACAAGGAAGGTGCTCAATAAATGTATAACTCCAGGAGGAAATATGACTTGATATTTACAATGTAAGTTTGACTCTAGTAGAAACAATAAGTTTTAATATATATTTATGACATATATATGTATATGTATACATATACGTATAGAGAGATAGCAAGAGACAGACAGAGTATTGCTCTATTGCCCAGACTAGAGCGCAGTGGTGTGATTGCAGTTCACTACAACCTCAAGCTTCTGGGCTCAAGTGATCCTCCTGCCTCAGCCTCCCAAGTTTGTAGAAATCGGGTCTCGTTATGTTGCCCTGGTTGGTCTCAAACGTCTGACCTCATGCCATCCTCTTGCCATGGCTTCCTAGAGTGTTGTGATTACAGGCATGATCTTCCTTGCTTGGCCAATGTATGTTTTCTTAATCTACTCATTAACTTTCTCTTCATACTTGAGTTTATATAGTAATGTCATTGAGTTCTTGCTATGCTGCCCAGGCTGGTCTCAATCTCCTGGGCTCAGGTGATCCTCCCACTTCAACCTTGCAAAGAACTGGAAATATGTTAGTTATTATTAAGTCTCTGGACAATGGAATTAATTCCTAAGGTCCTGTAAGCTCTCAGAATACAAAGACAATAAGGTATGGTTCCCAACGAGTCTTCCTAGGAGACATGGGTTCTGATGTGCTGCCTAGGTTGGTCCCAATCTCCTGGGCTCAGGTGATTCTCCCACTTCAGCCTTGCAAAACAGTGGGGATATGTTAGTTATTAAGTTCCTGCACAATGGAATTAATTCCTAAGGTCTGTAAGCTCCAAGGATACAAAGACAATCGGGTGTGGTTCCTAAGAGAAGTCTTTCTAGGGGACAGGATGATGCCTAATACAAGCAATGAAAGAAGAGTAAGAAACAGCCACTTTGAGGACATTGTGTATGTTTGTATATAACAGAAGGATGGGAGCTTGTGGAAAATGTTTGCAGGGAGAACTAATGTTGCCCAGGAAGATGGAGCCCTTTGAGCAAAGATGGCACTCTGGAGAAATGTTAAGTAATTTAATATGGCTAAGGCTCCTTTGTGAGGTGGGAGGTGGTAAGAAGTGAGACTTGAGAGCATGACAATGCATAAGATCACCCTGAGGAGAAATGCAGTGACTCAAGAACTGAGACTTGGGGAATCCTAGCATTGAAGGGGTAGTTTAGGAAACATGGCCCAGAAAGGTGACACGTTTACTGCCTGCCTTCTCTTCTTTCCCATTCACCCAAAGAGCAGGAGTGCTGGCCAGAATCTTTTCTGTTAGAGATCAGATAGGAAAGGGCAGCACTGGGAGTGGAGGTGGTTATGGGGGTGAAAAGAGAACAAGTCAATCTCCCTAATAAACAGCCAAGAGAGGAGAGACAGGAGTGCGTTAGCCAAAAACAGCAACAAAAATTCTAGGGCAGGGTATAGTGGGTTAAAGCCTCCAGAGAAATGGAGAGAAGAAGAAGCAGATTTCTGAAGTTCCCGTGGGTTATGATCTGAATCTCCTTTGAGGTGCTTTGAGAGAGATAAAATTTGAAATTCCTCTTAAATTACGGACTAAGTTCCTTTGTTTGCAGAGACAGAGCTGCGTGAAGCCCTGGTTTGATTACGGTTATTGAAGGACCTGTTGGATAGGCACTAGGGGAACTAAGAGAGTGTAATAATAGTCATAAAAATTTACAGCAGGAGAATTGCTTGAACCCAAGAGGCCGAGGTTGCCATGAGCTGAGATGGCATCACTGCACTCCAGTCTGATGACAGAGTGAGACTCCGTCTCAAAAAAAAAAAAAAATAATAATTTGCTATTGCTACCATGGTAAACTATTAGTCGCAAAAGTATTAATGGCAACAATAACTTTTGTTGTTGAGATAGACATAGTATTATTTCCCTTTCCCTTTCACAGATAAGAAAACCGAGGCACAGACTGGTTGGATTGATTTGCCCAGGGTCACACAACTGGTAGTTGGCAAAGCCAGGAATGGAACCCAGGCGCTTTATTTTACAGAAACCACTGGAATCAATATTTTTACTAAAGTATAGGGTAGTAGAGGATAAAATTCGAAGTACAAATTCTTCCTACTATCTAATATTTTATTTTCTAAGAAAAGGATTATATTCAATGAATACTTAATGTATACACAGAAGTTCTCCTTTTAAGTTGGAAAACTGTTATAATGTAGTTTAAAGAGTAGTGTCATGGGGTGGGGGAGGGGCATCACCATTCTTTCATAGACTAAAACATTCTTTTCTCTCTCCCATGCACATAGCACCAGGTGGAATGTGGATTTTGAATCAGCATTAGCTGAATTGACATGTTCTACAATACAATTTGCAGGGCACTGTGTGAGTGGCTGCTCAAGTATGGTCACACAAAGACATGCCTGCATTTATAACTCCAAGTTTCTAAAGCCACTGGGTTAGTCTGCTTCATAGTTTCCTAATTGAAATGTATGTTTCCTTTTTTTTGTTGTTAGACAAAGTCTCGCTCTGTCACCCAGGCTGGAGTGCAGTGGCCCACAATACCACAATATCTTAGCTCACTGCAGCCTCCACCTCCAAGGTTCAAGCGATTCTCCTGCCTCAGTCTCCTGAGTAGCTGAGATTACAGGCACACACCAGCACACCTGGCTTTTTTTTTTTTTTTTTTTTCTCTGAGACAGAGTCTCATTCTGTCATCCAGGCTAAAGTGCAGTGGCGCGATCTTGGCTCACTGCAACCTCCACTCCCCAGGTTCAAGTGACTCTCCTGCCTCAGCCTCCTGAGTAGCTGCGATTACAGGTGTCTATCACTGCACCCAGCTAATTTTTGTATTTTTAGTAGAGACAGGGTTTCACCATCTTGGCCAGGCTGGTCTTGAATCCCTGACCTCGTGATTCACCCACTTCGGCCTCCCAAAGTGCTGGGATTACAGGTGTGAGTGAGCCACCGCGCCTGGCTAATTTTTGTATTTTTAGTAGAGATGGGGTTTCACTGTGTTGGCCAGGCTGGTCTTGAACTCCTGACCTCAGGTGATCCACCTACCTTGGCCTCCCAAAATGCTGGGATTACAGGCATGAGCTATAGTCCATGGCCTGTTTGCCTTTTTAAAAAAAACAAATTCCTTGATTTTCAAGACTGCTCATTCAAAATAAACTCATAAAGAATGGCTCAAGAATAAGTGCTTTCAGTAATTTGTAGACCTATTTGGGGGTGTGTTGTTCACTCAAGTTTTGGTGGGTTTACGTGTGTTGTCATTTCGTTGGCTTCTTCCTTTCCCTGGTCCTCTCACATTTCTTCACTCCACCCTGGTCTGTTGGACCCCTGTCCTGGAATCAGAAGTTGAGGAGTGGGAGACTTACTGGATCTAGCCAGAGTTTAAACTCTTCTGTCTTCCTCACCTGGATGGATTTCCAGGTAGACTGGTTCTCATGTTTTTAAGACATAAAAGACCCTTTGGGTTTATGTATACATATCTGTAGCCTCTTTGGTATATTAGGAAAGAAGGCGAGAAATAAGCTCGCCTTACACATATTTGCATTTATGTGTAAGGATTTGTGTCGGATTTCCTCTCTCAATCAGTAATTTAGGCAGATACTAGACCATGCCTTGTAAAACATGCCAAAGGTTTTGCTGCATATCTTTTAGTCAAATTAAAAAATGAAAATATTTAATACATTTTTTTTTGAGATAGAATCTCACTCTGTGGCCTGGGCTGGAGTACAGTGGCACCATCTCAGCTCACTGCAGCCTCCGCCTCCTGGGTTCAAGCAATTCTCCTGCCTCAGTCTCCTGAGTAGCTGGGACTGCAGGCACATGCTGCCACCCTTGGCTAATTTTTTGTATTTTAGTAGAGATAGGGTTTCACCGTGTTGCCCACGCTGGTCTTGAACTCCTGAGCTCAGGCAATTCCTCTGCCTCAGCCTCCCAAAGTGCTAGGACTACAGGCATGAGCCACAACGCCCGGCTTTTTTTTTTTTTTAAAACACAGGGTCTTGTTCTGTCACTCAGGCTGGAGTGCAGTGGCAGGCTCATGACTCATTGTAACCTGGAACTCCTGGGCCTAAGCGATCTATCTACCTGCCTTACCCCCCGTCATAGCTAGGACTACAGGCATGCACCACACTCCCAGCTAATTTTTAAATTTTTGTAGAAATGAGGTCTCCCTATGTTCCCCTGGAACTCCTGGTCTCAAACAATCCTCCTGCCTCAGTCTCCCAAAGTGCTGAGATTACCAGCATGAGCACCTGGACCTGGTCCAATAAATATTATAAATTCAAATTAGGCATTTCACTTCCATTTATATTCATATCCTTTTACAGGATTATTTGATAGTTATTAATGTATATTGTGATTGAGTTTTAATAGTTACTTTGGGAAAACAGAAATTACTGTTCCAGTACTTACTTGTAAGTTGTTAAAGTCCACACAATGCACTTAACCTTTATCTTGTTCAACAGATTCTGTAGCACATGAAACACTTGAAATACGTAAGAGTCACTTCTCTGGGCACTTTGCTGATTTCGTCTGCTATTTCACTGATTCGACATTTTATTGATCCATTACTATCTGCTTGGCAAGGTGCTAGAAAATAGGAATACTAAGAAAAAGGTTAAGGCTCCTGTCCTCAAGGCCCTCTCTCAGTCCAGTTTGGTCAAGGCTTGATGGAACACAGCAGTGGCAAACAAGCACAAGGGGCCTTATTTCACCGGTGTGCAGTCCTTTTCCAGCTCTGAAATTATGTCTATCCAAACATCCTAAATCAACAAATCAGTTTTTCTAAATCATACAAGGGCAGCTAACAAACTGGGAATAAGGCTTCGATTATTCTGACTTGATTCAAAACGATCACTGCCAATTCTTTGCCCTGCCAATCCTTTCTTTGATTACTAAGTTAAGCTTTACACACCTCACTTGCAAGAGGCTATGCTGGCTTTCCGGAAATCTGTAATTAAGTTCAGTGTTTGTGGGATGGAGTGTAATTAACGACCATTAATTACAAAGTTTCGTTCGTGAGAGCCTGCCAGACTAAGTAGCAGAAACACGAGAAGCTGATAAAAAGCTTTCCTCATTTTTAAACAAAAGTCGCACGGGACAAGGGAACGTGGACTGCCCTTGCTTCTCCCGTGGACGCGGCTGGATTGGGACGCTGGACCGTGTCTCCCCGCCCCCGCCCCCACGCCTCCTCCAGTGCCCAGCCTGAGGCCTTCGTCCAGGAGCGCTGCCGCTGACCCAGGCTTAGGAGCTGGGGACCCCGGCACAGACTCCCGGGTCTCGGGACAGGCGGCGACTGCACTCACGGAAGTGCGCTGAGCTCTCCCCTGTGGAAGGGCGCCTCTCCTCCCCCACTTCCTCCTCCAGCTCCGCGGCACAGCCTCCCGGGCCGGCTCCTCCTCCTCCCAGGTCTCCTCCCAGTGCCGCCGCGGCTCTCAGGCCCGAGGTGCGGCGCTCACCCCGGCAGTCCCCAGCCTCAGAAGCGGCGGAGCCGGAGGGAAGCCAGGGGCCGTCTGCGCTGCTGTCCCCGCCCCGCGCGCTCTGCGCCCCTTGTCCCTGGCGGTCGCTCCGAAGCTCAGCCCTCCTGCCTGCCCCGGAGCTGTCCCGGGCTAGCCGAGAGCGGCCGGCAAGTTTGGGCGCGCGCAGGCGGCGGGCCGCTGGCACTGGGCGCCTCGGTGGGGCGGGGGGAGGTGGCCACCGCTCCCGGCTCGGCGTCCCGCGCGCTCTTCCACGATGGCTTCTCCGCCGCGGCGACGGCTGCGCCTCGGTTCCCGCGGCCTCCCGCTTCTTCTCTCGGGACTCCTGCTACCTCTGTGCCGCGCCTTCAACCTAGACGTGGACAGTCCTGCCGAGTACTCTGGCCCCGAGGGAAGTTACTTCGGCTTCGCCGTGGATTTCTTCGTGCCCAGCGCGTCTTCGTAAGTGGCCGCACTTGGAACCGGAGCCGGCCCCCTCCCCCACCGCGCGCACCCACCCAGCCCGTTTCTCCATTGGGATTGATTTCCGAGAGATCCCGGCGTCTGTCTGTCTCACCCATCCTACCCCTCAGAGTGGTTTACGTCCTGAGTGGAGGAAATATTTGGGGAAAGGAACTCCCCTTGGTACCCATCACCCAGTTACATCCCGCTCCTCACCTCTTAAAATTGGTTAGGGGCAGCGGGAGAGTTTTAAAGCAGACCTGTGCTTAAAAATCGGGGAAAGTGGGAAATCAACAAAGGCTGGTCTTGCCGGACTCCCCACCTCCTGTGCTAACGTCGAGGATTTGGTCAATATCATCCCCGAACTTCTTTTTCTCCTGTACCAGTTAGGCTTCTTGGTAGCCTTTTTCTGCTTTACAGGCTTAACGCCCGTCCTTTTCAGTCTCCCTAAACAAGCCCTCCCCCACTCTTTCTGCCTCTGTCTGATTCTGTTTCTCTTCACTCCTTTTGCAGACATTCTGATGACTTAAAATGACCATACTGTCCTATTGAATTCATTGTGTCTTATCTCTGGAACTGTCAGACATTTGCACATTTGAGGTTGAACAGATGAATTGAATGTGTCATCTGTTCTTTTTATAGTGATTCACTATTTAGGTCATTGTTCAGAAGGAACAAGGGTGTTTGCTGAGTTTTCACTCGCTGCAGGTCATTTGAATATTGCAGTATTTCATAATTCAGTTATATTTTCAAGTTGCCAACGTTTCGCGTTGCAAGGGCCGTAAGGGTTTGTAACAGTTATTGTCATTATTGTGTTAGAAATTGTCTCCCACTTTACTGAATGCTGACATCATTCTCACCACCCCACCCCCATGGTAGCGTTAGGAGTACTGTTTTAATGAGTGTTCACTGTTTTTTTTTTTTGTTTTTTGTTTTTTTAATGATGTTTAAATATTGTTTTCAAGAGAGAAACTGTTCTTAGAGTGCCTTCTAAACGCTTAGACATTGTAACAACATATTTTTGTTAGCATATTTTCTGTATAAGATGTCCCTTTGGGGTGAAGTGGAGGATAATTTTGACGGTTAGTACGTGGATAGAACCATCTTCCACTACATACATGCCTAATTTGAGGGTGGTCTTAACGTTTTTCTATGACTGGTTTAGAACATTCAGCAGAATTTAGTCTTAGTGTTTTTCTGAATGTTACTGAGTATCATTCATTTTGGTAACAACCTTCGCAGCAATACAGATTGGATGCAGTTAGTGGAAACTTTGTTAGTGGAGACATTATTTTATGTAGCAAGCTTAGTTTTATTTGTTGTTAGCAGTTACAGTGCTTTCTGTGAGACCTGGTGCACAGATTTTCCAACATGATAAAAATAATCATTATTTAGGCAACATTTACCAATTTCACATTCCATTTAGTCATTTTAGTCAGCGTTATCTTTTTAGTTATTATTTTTAACCACAGGGGTGTATACCAAACGTTATCTTTAAACATTTTTGTTTTCAGATACTTTCAAGTGTATGCCTTTATGAGACAGAACATTTTAGTTGCTCCCAAGGGTTCAATTTTAGATTTAATTTGTACAGAAATTCTAATGATTTTGAAAATATATGTCTTCGGTCAAAAATTAGCATTTAAATACTTAATACAAAAATTAACCAGACATGGTGGTGCACACCTGGAATCCCAGCTCTGCGGGAGGCTGAGATGAGAGGATTGCTTGGAAAGTGGAGGTTGCAGCGAATGGAGATTGTGCCACTACACTCCGGCCTGGGCGGCAGAAAGAGACTGTCTGAGAAAGAAAAACAAACAAAATCAAAAACAAAAACAAAACACAAAACAACAAAAAACTTTAAAGTTAATGGCAGTGTTTTAAAAATGTTACTGTTTATTCTTCAGCAGTGCTCTAAGTTTAGTGTAAGATAAATGAGAGGCTGATAAACTTCAAGTGTTGTTTTTTTTTTTCCTTTGGAAAATGCAGTAATGTTGAAATATTCATGATATTTGCTACTGCTGATTACAAGCCAGGGTGACTAATCTTTGGCCACTCATTATAATCAGTGACTATGTTATGACCTCACAGGTTTACATGACTTCACTCATAGACCTTTAATGATAAGGAGAAATTGAACTTGGGTTTGGTTTCATATAATATTTTGAAATATTCATCAGCAACTTTGTTACTGATAGACTAGAGAGGCTCTAGGTATAGGTAACTTAAAAAATGGAAACCAACCTTGAGTTTTTTTTTTTCTTTTTTTTTAAATGAAATGTGTATGAACAAGGTTTTTACTCACTGAGCTTTTCAGATTTAACAAAAATTTATGTAAAATTATGCTGAATTTTCTAAAAGGGCATTTTAAATTTAACAAGCGTTGGAATCCGAGGTACATGGGATGCCATTTCCAATACTACCAGTTGCATTTATTGTTATTTGGTATTATCATCAACTTTTAAAAGAAGAAAAGCCACATAATGAAAAAGTATTTGTCAATTAAAGAGCACCTTTCTTCTGAGGGGAGAAGGATTCATGAGGAGCAGTGGTTATGACGTCCACTCCTGTTGCTTTTTCCAGTTTTGGTGTCCACATACCTTGGGGAAGCTGTAGAATTATTTTCTGCCTAATTTTTCTCTTAATAGAAAATTATTATTGAATTATCTACATAGTTTTGTTGTGAAAGTTAATGAGTATTTATTAAAGGGAAGGACAAATAAAGTACTAAGCAAAATGTTAAGGCTCCCCTCAAAAAATCACTCCAGAAATGAGTCGTGTTTGAAGTAAAAATTCCCAAAAGTAGTGATTTTCAAAATTATGAAAAATAAAGCATTTGCATTCTGTTTTTTTTTTCCCTGTAAGCATTTATGCTATGTTTGTAAAACTAAAATTTAAAGACTGTATGCAGGCCAATAATTAAAGTCATACTTTTCTTGTGGAGACTAATTGGAAAAATTAAAAATTACATCCTAGGTTTAATTATAATGATGACATCTTATTTTGGTAAACATGTTTTATAATTTGCTAAGCAGTTGTATCTCATTTCATTCTATAGCCCACACCACCAGCGGGGAAGTAAGGGGAAGCAGATACACTCATTCTTACAGATTAGGAGGAAACGGAGGCAGAAGAGTTTGTAGTCTAGTTATTTGAGTAGGTTGGTGTGAGTAGAGGGTAAGAAAGGGAGGGATCTGAAGACGGTGTAAAATTCAAATCCCACTTTTAAAAATTCAGATATTGAATTTTTAAAGAAAATAACTGAACAATTTTAAAATTCTTCAAATATATGTCATACAGTTCTCATTTTATGTATTTCTTTATTTTAAAATAATGCTATGATGAATAACACTGGATTCTTGCCTTTTCCCCCATTAAACACTAATGGAGCCTTATCTTACAGTTGACAATGTGTAGATGTGTGTGTCTTACAAGCAGAAGGTCCTTCAATGGTTCTCAGTCCTAACTTCATGTTTGCAATATCTGAAAGCCTTTTAAGTAAAACTCCTGCCCTGGCTGTATCTTAAATCTAAAAGTAGATCTCTGACTTGATATTCCAGTGGCCTGGCCTGTAAGTCATTTTTCATTGACTAGCCTGTCTTAACTCAATTTAACTAAGAAGGAACTCTTCACCAAGAGATATCAGTTGCACCTCTGTTTCTATTAATGGTGGTATCATTTCCTCTGTAACCTTGGAAATAATTTCATATTCCTCCCTCTCATGTTCTATTTTTCTGTGTCTCTCCTACTTCACTACCTTAATATCAGTCAGTGATTAGTCAGCAGGCAGAAGCTCCTGGAAATTCTTCCTTTTAAAGGTTTTCTTGATTCCATCTCTGCTTTCTACACCTTATTTCAGTATAGTTATGACAAGTGTAGTCCATGGCACTCAGGTCCTCCCCAATCCCTCTGCCCATCATTTGGCTCTTAAACCTGCAGAACATCTTATCTGTTTCTATTTGTTTTATCTTTCTGTAACATCCTTTTTCATCCTGGTATTCTGTTGCAAAAATTTTCATAATAAAGCTTCCGTTGCCAGCAAGAAAGTCCAAACTGCTTAACATGGATTAAGGTCACTTGCAATCTGTCCTAACCTGTGTGTATTTTTAAAACTTCATGTACCATTTCTACTCTTACCATTTTAACTGTTTTCAGAACACTTTACAAAATGATGCCAGCTCATTTTTTATAAACTTCAGAGTAGCTCTGACTATATTGGTTGATTTTTCTCATCATAAATAATATAAATGTATATTAGGGGACATAAAATTAGACTATAATTTTATTATTTAGAAAGCAATTCCTATATTGATTACTTCTGATTAAGGACATAACAATGTTTTATAGAGCTTTATGAAAGACAAGGGAAAATATATGGAAAT